ACATGGATAAAGTCAAAGGAGTGCGCAATGCCATTTTTGAGTAATTCGGGGGGGGGGGGGGGTTAAGTCAATATAAGTCAATGTGTACATGGATACCGAGTTTGTGCAATTGTTTGTCTTGTTATTTTGGCTTTGTGTAGCGGAAAAATTGTTTTTTGGCTTGTGTAGCGGCGATTTTTAGAACAAAAATGCTGCTTTTCAAGCCAAAATAACGAGTCAAAGAATTGTACAAAATTGGTATCCATGTACCGCCAAAAATCGGCAAGTTTCGCCAAGGGGTACCCTAAACTATACTTTTACCAGGTTTAATCCTAGTATCCGGTGCACACGGGATTTGGCTACTTTTGGCGATTTTTATGATGAGCAGTAAAAACGGGACATATACGATGAGTAGTAAACGGGTATTCAAAGAATATATATAGTTATACATAGTATATGCTATGTATATAGTGATAGTATAGTATATACATAGACATTCTTTGGGTAATTTTTGGTGTTGGCGATAATTTTCAAAATCGTGCCAAGGCTGCACAGTATACTAGGATTTTACCAAAGAAAAGTATTGGTTAATCTTTGGATTATGGTAACTTGGCAATTTTTTGGTGAAAATTTGGCGACCAACCCTGCTACAGTAACCTGCTAGTTTTTGTTTGGATGCCATTTTGTTTTCACGAAGCAAAGGCATTTTTTTTTTTTTTTTTTTTCTTTTTTTACTCAACATTTTTTTCCAACAATCTGCTAGCCGAATTACGCTTATGCTAGAACTTTTATGGAACAAAAGTGCTTAATCATGACGAAGATTAGGTGTGAAATTGGGAGAAAGTGGAGAATCGCAAACTGCTTGCCGCGTTTTTAAGAATTGCACATACACGGTATCCATGTGCACGTCGACCTATTTTCACTTTAAAAAAATCCCAGAATTGCACAAAAATGACATTGCACACACTCTTGACTTTATCCATGTATACTGCTAAAGTCCTAGCTAGTAACCTTTATCGCCTTACCAAAATGTCGCCAAACTACCTGTTACCATATTCCAAAGATTAGCCAAAGTATTTTAAACAGGTTTAGAGCTCATATACAATTGTAAAACACACTTTTTACTCAAAACTTCACAAAAATTTAACTGCAAATGGAAAAATTTATCACCATAAATTTTATTGTAAAAATGAACTAAAACTATTCAACATAATACATAAATATTGATTGGATAACATTTGTATTGATTACAATCTTATAACTAAAATTTTGATAAATAAACCTTTCCTATATCTGGATACCATAATATCTTACAATCAAAACTCTCATATTTTTCGTAAACATAACATCATCATAGCATTAGATAGGTTTCTTTCAGTTTCTAACTACATTCAAACCCTAAAATTAATTTGACACTTTGGCTTACATCAATCATATAAAATTTCCCTTCGAATGTGGAAGTGAAATTTGCATTTCTAACCCCTCAGTTGTTTCTTGCATTTCTTATGCTGAAGTTTTTGACAATGCAATTTGCCTTTAATCTTCCCATGGAATGAGACACATACATTTGGTTGCTAATATTAGCATCAATGGGGTAGAGTAGACTTTAAGATACCCCTTGTATTATGGTGAAGATCTTGTTTGATTTATCGCCAAGTTGTTGTTTCGGGTTTTCTTCCGCAAAGGATCCGTTGGCGCTTCCGCAGCGGATCTGGTGGCACCGATGCGTATTTATTCGACAAGCTCATCAACGGCTAATAGGCCATGATTTTAGCGGTGCATAGTTAGTTACGTTGCAAGATATTTAACATATGGAAGCGATGATTTGAGCGGTGTACAGTCAAGTTATAAGATATATAGCATACAGAAGTAAAATAAATAGGTTAACCATGACATTTAGCGGTGTATAGTTAACCTGGGAGGACGTGCGCTATATTATTATGTAACACGAGAACGCGCATCGCAATTAAACAATGTACAAATGTAATAATGTAAAATAATGCATTCGATATTAATTACAGTCAAAAGTCGTTAATTCGGACACCCATAATCCGGAATGATCTATAATCCGGACCTCAAAGCTAAAACCTTTCTGCGCATGCGCCGCATTGACGCATGCACATAGGCGTTTTACTCGTGCGCGCAAGACATTTACGACTACGCATATGCGTCTGCGCAAGTGCAGACTACGTTTTCGCGTGCGCGTTTAATATATAACGGACGGTATAAGCTAAAATTATCTAATTATCTATTTCAGTTAATGTTGATGATTGTGTTGTTTCTTAATCTTCGAATTGGATCCGGCTTATTATTTTTTGCAGACTGTAAGAGCAATTTTCTAAAAGTAAGCTTGAACTTTTGATTATGTCAAATAGAATTTCCGATGCTGCAGGAGCTCCCAAAGGATCTAGAAAACGAAAGTATGTTTCGATGTCCATCAAACAAAAAACGAATTGCTACCAAAAATGGATAAAGGCATATTCTTTGTTTATCTAATCGTTCCGAAATCTGTTTATTATCAATTTCACGCTGCTCTACGCGGGGGGGGGGGGGCGACGTCGCGGCGGGCAATGAACTGGAAGTTGATTTGTCAACATTATCGTTATCTTCAGGGCACATGTTTTTATTTCATTCGGCTTATAATTCCTTACTAAATGTAGTATTTAATTTCGATGTACTCCGTCTTTGATATGATTTAAATCAAATTCCTCCTCATTATAAATATCACGAATACAAATCAAATAGTTTTCTGGTCGCAATTTTCTAATTTGGCTATGCGTAAGGTATGCTTTACGCATCCGCGCGTTGAAAGAAATGTTTAATAAAGTACACAAATAAATATTAGGCTTCTTTTTTTGGTAATTTTTGATACCCTTTAGATCATAATTGGCTCATTATTTATAAATTACGGTTTCATATTTTTAATTTTATAATTTCTGCATGCCATCTTACCAGATTTAAACTGATGATCTATAATCCGGAAAAATCGATAATCCGGAATCGACGAAGTCCCGACGAGTCCGGATTAAAGACTTTTGACTATATAACATTTACAAAATTTTCACAGGACTAGTTTTGATGGTTTTCCAAAATAAATATTACAAGCAAACTGAGGGATTAGCCATGGGAAGCCCCCTCAGTCCCATCCTGGCTGATATCTACATGCATTATTATGAATGAAAATTGTTTGAAATTTTAAACTTCCCGGCATGGTTCTGCTACGTAGACGATACTTTTACTCTGTTTGAAGGTAATAAAGATGATTTAAATAAAGTTCTTTCAACAATGAATTCTATTGATCCTGCTATTCAGTTCACTTTTGAACTTGAGACTTGCAATTCTCTTCCGTTTCTCGACATTCTGGTCACACGTAACACATCCAACTTCAGTACTACAGTTTACCGTAAACCTTCATCGGTTGCCTTCCACCACCTTTAAATCATGTCATCCGACTAAACAAAAGTTAGCTTCATTTTATTCCTATGTTTTTCCGTGCTCTTCAAATTTGCTCCTCCAAACTAGCCCTTGATGAAGAACTAAATTATTTTTTTAAAAGCAATAGCTATTGAACAGGGGCTTTTCACCCAACATTATTAATCAAGCAGTTAAAAAATTCTCATCTCAACACTAACAGCCACACTCTTATTTTAGGAGATTATAAAAAATTCTGTTGTCATTCCCTTCTTTCCATCAATTAGCTATAAAGTTGCACATATTTTGCAGAAATTTAACTTTCGGGTTGTTTACTCTCCCATCAATAAAATTCCAACTTCTATACTCAAGGACCCCCATTCCGGATATGAATTCCTGGGGTATTTATAGGATTCCTTGCCAGTGCGGTTTAATTTACATTGGCCAAACTAAGAGAGCCTTAAAATTTCGCGTCAAAGAACATGAGGCATATGTTAGAAAAAAGGAAACACAGAAGTCTTCTGTTGCTCAACATTGTTGGTCCGAAAATCACACTTTCAATTTTTCTGCTGCCAAAATTATTCAAAAACATCTTCCATTGGAGAACTGGATTTTCTAGAGGCATTTCACATTCATAAAAATCTCTTCTGTTCTAGTTAACGATCCTAATTCCAATCCAAATTTGCCTTCGGCTTTTTAGATAAATTATGTTTTTAGTTCTGGTTTCGCCAACAGATGGCGCCACTTGCTTATTCTTGTCCAGGCTTTTTTATCTTATTTAAACATTATTTCCTGTCTTGTTCATTTGCGGTTTTGCAGCTGAAGATGATGGTTCGGTAAAACCATCGAAACTAGTCCTGTGAAAATTTTGTAAATTAACGCTGATTTTTGTTGTTTGACTTCTGAATTAGTATTTATTTGGCGTGTTATTGCATCTTAATTGTATAACATTTATTATATAAAATTGCTTAAAAATAAGGTGACTTTTAAAATTAATGACAAATAAATCAAATGTACTTAACTTTTTTTTCATATGACTAGGAATCATTGATTTCTATGAGAAATTTTGTTTTTTATTTTTGAATGCTATTATAATCCAAATTATGCAAAATTATTACATGGACAATGAGTTATATAATTAATTTTCAAATCAATTAGGCTCAAGAAGAATTAGATATTTTGTAGTTTATACATGAAGCTTCTGTTTCATTTATTATTATGTAGCTAATATTGCAATTTATTTTTACCTTTATTTCAGCTAAAAGGATTTGGGGCTGCCTCATTATGACATGCTACTTAGAAAATTTAAATGATATATTAAGCTTGACATATTTTTTTTACACATCACACATACAGTTTTTGATTTTCTGTCTTTTTTTCTTGAGCACATGTAACATCTCCGGTAACATAATTTTGTTTTCTTTGTTTGAGAATCTTCATTGTATTCCTACTGTTTCTGCTATGATTTCAAATGAGGATCTAAAAGTGCAAAGGCCAAATCAGAAGTGCCTCCTATTCCTGAACTTCTCTGGTGGAATTTTAGTAGATAAAAGCAAGATCCTTGAATTTATGCCGGCAATATATAATAGCGAAAAAAAAAAATATGCCCATCAGTTTGATATTCTGGCCATAGAATAAGTGCCACCCATTTCGTCGACTATATCAACTGCTCCTTTTGTCATGTTATAAAACATAATTACTTCAGATTTCTTCAAATCTCCAGTGCTTTCATCAATATGGTCATCATTGTGCATAGTTGACAAAAGGTTAACACATTTGTTCTTTTCAGCCATATAAGAAAGTAGCATTATATCCTTTTGAAACCCCAAGAGAGTTGAATGCTGTTCTTTATTATTATTCGACACTAATTCAGGTGGGATAATCTTCTTATCCTTGCATATTGTTCCAACGATAGAAATTTTATTTTTCTGTAAGAAATTGGCCAATTCATAACTGGTATACCAACTGTCTGTGTCAAACAAAACATGACAATTCTGAAAAATGTTTCTTCCAGAATTGTATAATGGAGCTAGGATGCACTTTGCTTTTTCACAAGAACTGTTGACTTTCTTGTATGACCCATCTGGCTGCTGACCTGAGTAAATTTCCATATTCAAAGTATAGAAGGTTCTAAAATCAACCACAGTAAATATCTTTATACCATATCTTGCAGGTTTCTTAGGCATATACTGCCAAAAAGAGCATCATCCTCGAAAAGGTTCTAGCTTTTCGTCCAAAGTCATGTATTCCCCTACATGATATAATTTCTGACAATTCTCGACAAAATTTTCAAACAAATCTCTTATTGGAGCTAATTTATCACTCTTTCTTCTGTCATCCCATGTTCCAACATTATCGAATCGCAAGGCACGAAGAATGAAAAGAAATTCATAGTTCATTTGTTTTATGAAAAATATCCAATGTTGTTCCATCAGTCGCCCATAATTCTCTAGCATTTACATGGGAGGATTTGTGCAATCCAGCTATGTACGAGTCCTAAAAAAGCAAGAAATTCTTCTTTCTCCATAGGTTTTGCGTCTCTTTTAAAATTTCCCGAAATATTTTTTACATAAATATTAGAGCATCTCACAATCATTGTGTCATCAATATTAGCTTCCATGCATTGATGGGTGAAGCCACATCTTTAGATATATGTGTATTGCCAGGCAATTTTTTTATGATATTATGGGAATCTTTGAATTCGAAAGTGTTCTTTCTTCCATTTTGTTGTTTTATCTTTTCCTACAAAATAGTCAGTTTGATCACAAGGAATGTCTTCTGTAGAGTCGCACTCTTTTTCTGATTCAGACTGATGATCACTAAATATATTATAAAGTATTTTGCAGTAATTGACAAAATAGCAGATGATCTTCTTAATAAACCACAAATTTTATTTTTAGTTTAGGGAGATAGATAATTTGAATAAAATTCTTTAGTGGCAAAATTTTCATACAACTACTAGCTGGTAAAACTTCAGAATTCTCATTTTAAACAATTCCTTACGTTGCTCAGCAATGGTTACATCATACAAATCTGGCGTTGCCACTTCAATAATAAATATATATTTATTGGTTAAATAACAAAATATTACAATATCTTCATTATCTGAATCTTGTAAGAAAGTCCACCTCTGAAAAGATGTTTGGAAACTTATAAGAAATGATGTTCCGCAAATTTATCTTAAAATGGACCTAATTCAATGCTATATACATTAGTGCAATTTAGAATATCCAAAGTGAGAATTGGAAAAAGCAATATTCTCATTTCCATTTATGAAATAACCAATGCTGTTGACAAATGAATATGTACCCTAGAATAATTTTAGTTCCAGGATATCATTGAAATTATTTCTCCTTATAACAGATGTGGGAAAAACCCCTAATGAAATTAAACATGACAAATCTCTGTTATAGTGAGAGTCTTTGGAGAGACTGCCGATGATATATTAGTTTTGACAAAGTGGGTAACATGGTCAAGTGAGATTGTTATTATGCCAAGCAGTAATAACTTTAGGGGGCATGACAGTGTTATGGCCCAAGATAATGAATACTGAAGATTGAAACTTGGGTCAAACTACCAGTATTCAGCAAATGTATTGCTCAACTGCTTGTGAATTTGAACAAAAGTATGAATATCTTGTTAGTGAAACCCATGACGTAAGAAAATCGGGAAAATTTATAAAGTTTTCAAGATTAAAACATGGTCTATTTTGTTATAAATCCCTGACATGTTTTAAATACACTCCTGCTACACGGATAGAGGCGGAATGATCATTATCCTGCTTACAACAAATACATCATGTTAATGTAGAAACTAAAGGAAAGTTTAGGTTATTCGAATATGGCAAAGAATACCAGCTATGGACCTGAAGAAAGATGCTGTTTTGAACAACTTTCTAAGGGAAACTGGCTTGTATTTGCATTACATATGAGGAAAACTAGAAAAATCAACCATGCAGCCAGCCTTTAACCATGATATGAAACCAGATCAAACTACCAGTATTCAATATCAGTTGCAGGGAAAATCTGAAGAAAATGCTTGCAATATCATGTAATCAGAAATTAACTATGTGTTGCATAGCAGGATTACTTTTGCAAGTGTCGAGGTAGAGAATACTACATTTTTTGTGTGTGTGTATGTGTGTTTCTTTTTCTTTGTATAGGTATTTGGCTATGGTATTCATTACATATATTCTCTGACATTCATACAGAATACTAATATTTTTAGCAAAAAGCGTCTTTTTCATTAAGTGCTTTGCTTGTCGATATTCTTAAAATTATGTTTAATAATTAGTGCTACTGTACTAATAATTAAATAATAATTAATATAATAATTAGTGCTACCATTAATAGATTAATGGATTAATTACTAAATAATACATTTAAAACATTCATTTTACACAAGCAATTTTTCAAAGTTGTTTTTTGAGTTTACTTTCTGATAGCTTAAAGTATTTTATTTTGAAACAACTGCCTTTTTCATAATAAATTTGACAATGCCAAGAATCTTCAATAATATTCAAATCCTTTAAAGTAGCATTGTAAATAAAACTAGAAGAAATATTATACATTTTGTTATTTTTTAAGATTCATTCAAACTTTGATTAATTACTCAAAGCAGTGGTTTACTAACTTTGATGACCCTGGGAATACATAAAAGTATTTTGTCATCTCAGAGAACCAATAATAATTTTTATTTCATTCTAATCATCTGTTGTATATAAACACCTAGCATCCTTTGAAAAATAATTGTTAAAATGCCTAAAAAATATATGAAATTTTTAAGCACGAAAATTAATTTAATTCTTATTATTTTAGATAAAAATAAGAGCTATAAAAATAAAAACGTAATTATTGCAGCCCACGTTAATCATGTTTTAGGAGCCGTATGGCTCTGCGTATTTAAAGTCTTTTAAAAAGTAACGTAAGAACACAGCCGTAATTATCATTCACCCCCCTGCGCCGATTTTCACCACCTTATCCGGTAGTTGACAGACCGCTAGCCACCGGCGAAACGGAGCCCCGAACAGATGAGAAATATTTTGTCTAAAAGTGAACCAGGTTGCTACCTCACACAAACCAATTTGCCGGGTTACCAGCTTTGAACTGTTATCGCCATTTTTGGCGATGTTTACATTTACCGGATCTTTTGCGGAAGTGCTTCCGTTGTTTAATTTATCGTAGCCTGAGTAGTTGAATGTTATGGAAACCCTATTGTGACGTAATCGGGTGCATGATTCTTGGATATTTTGAATCATGGGATGATTTTTAAGCGTTTTTGTGGTGTGTGTTGGTTTGATTCTTTACACGGTAGAATGGCCGAATGTATTAAGATTAATTTGAAGTTTCTGTACGATTTGGAGTGAAACGGGAAAACAGCTTTAATTGAATGGTGTGTAAATGAAGGTTTACTTAGTAGCCATTATAAGTGTCCTGTATGTAGGAAGGATATGCGTCTAGTCAAACGTAAAAACCGTTTAGATGGATTTGAATGGGTTTGTAGGAAGAAAGGTTCAGATGGTCACTATGTGAAGCATTCGATCAGAAAGAGTACTTGGTTTGAAAAAAGTCATTTGAGTATGATTGATATTTTGATTTTTACGTGGCTCTGGAAATACGAAGCGAACTCGAAAATCATGGTAAGTGAATATTTGCTTTTGGTAGTGCTTAAATGTGTAACATTTTATTCCTTTTTTATGTTATTTTATTGTTTGGTTTAAAATGTATTTTATTGAGATTATGTATTTTTTGTTTGCCTATATTGTAGAATTTGGTGTTCCTTTCACTTTTTAAGTGAAAATACATCGATGTGTACATAGACAAAGTAAAGGGAGTGCACAATGCAAGTTTGTGCAATTCTGGGATTTTTTTAAAAGTGAAAATAGGTCAACGTGTACATGGATAAAGTTAAAAGAGTGCGCAATGACATTTTTGTGCCATTCGGGGATTTTTTTTAAAGTAAAAATAGGTCGACGTGTACATGGATAAAGTCAAAGGAGTGTGCAATGCCATTTTCGTGCAATTCGGGGATTTTTTTTTAAGTGAAAATAAGTCGATCTGTACATGGATACCGACTTTGTGCAATTGTTTGTCTTGTTATTTTGGCTTTGTGTTTTTGGTGCAAAAATCGCCACTTTGCAAGCCAAAATAACGAGTCAAACAATTGCACAAAATCGGTATCCATGTACCGCGAAAAATCGCCAAGGGGTACCCTAAACTATACTTTTATCCCATCAATGTTGCTTATTGCTAAAAGAAATAATAATTATGCCAAAAATCTCATTTGAAGCTAGGGCATACTCTAGCTGGACTTATGATCTATCTTTAAAATTAAGAAATATCCCAGCTGATTTCCAACGTTGTGGAAAGTGTAGAATCACCCACTGCTTGGCGCGTTTTTAAGAATTGCACATACTCGGTATCCATGTACACATCGACCTATTTTAACTTGAAAGAACATTCCAGAATTGCACAAAAATGACATTGTGCACTCCAAAGAAAAGTGACAAAAATCCAATTCTTTTTACTCTTGTAAAAAGTGCAAATAAGTGGGCAATTCTGCAATATCCTTCAAAAAAATTTAAACACTGTGTGAGAACAAAAATAACATGCCTCAATGTTTAAAAATTTATACCTTTATTAAAAGGTTTATATTTAAATCATGATACAAGTTTAAATAACATAAACGAGAAAATATTATAAAGTAAATAACTACTTATATAACATAACACTCTTTTATTATGATTTAAATATTTTATAAAACAGCTTAAGAATTTTCTCACATACTAAACGTGTTAAGTATCCTATACTTAATTTCATCAAAAGCAATTTTTAAATCTTGATTGAGTTCATATTTTATTTATGTTACTTCTTATTTCGCGGACTGTCAAGTTTTGATATGTACTTCAAAAAATCCTTTTTCATCCATTCACCTGAAACACTGCAGTTATAGCCGTATTATATTAAACGGATTATTAAAACAATTAAATTAAAAATGTATCCTATAATACATATAAAAAGCTAATATTATCTCATTACAAATTAAACCTTATAAAGTATACGTGTTAGGAACACTGGGTCACAGAGAAAGACTTTTATTTTTTGAAATTTTTTGCCAACTCAGCCAAATTTCACTTTTTTTTCCCCTGCAATTACACCTTAGCCATGAAGTTAGGTTGTTTAATTACATACCTATCATTTGGTGTTGAATTTTCCACATTTACAGGGGCATCGTCACTATTGGAAGATCCTGGTGGAGAATCGCTACCCTCAGTCATTTGTGTGCTTTATGAAGTTAATAAAAAAAAATTATAAATTTTAATACCGCGTTACGTTCATGTCCAACAGAAAACTAGCGATCTAAAACATACAGATAGCAGAACACGGTACCAGTTTCTTAAACCAGGAAGTTATTTCCACAACTTACAACTATATGTCACATCTTTACTATCTTGTTGCCATTCTAAATAAATATGGAACAAATAGAAGAATTATTTTCCCCCCTTAATCTTATTTCTGAATAGATTACATTTGTGTTCTAAAGTTTTCTTTGTATCATATTAAAAATAATAAATTTTGAACTCAATACTTTACACTGGATATGTTTGTTTAAAAAATGACGGTTCTGGAAATAATCGTTGTATACAGAATATTTTACATACTAGTAATGTGAAATATTTTAAATACTACGTAATATTTTAAATAAAGTAAGCTTTAAAATAAATCGAATATTATTGTGGAATGTATTTCATAGTTAAGTAATTATTTTAGCTGAAATAAACGACGCTGTTGGCAGCCGTGCTGTGGAAAAGAATAAAAAATGTTACCGTCGTTTGGTTTCGATGCTGCAGTGCGCATTACATAGGTCGGTCGAACGCGGTGGAAGTTGGAAAAACGAGTCGCGGAGAGAACAGCTGAGCCAAACTAAATAAATACGCAATCAAGTTGGCCGTCTGATGGGGGATTACAATTTTGGTGTAAATTCGAGCGTCGCGGCTTTATCTCCAGTTGATTTTCAAACGAATTCCGGCAGCACATCTCTATTTTTTCCGAGCGAACCGGTCGCGCATACGATGCAAGATGATCTACTGCTCGATAAATCTACCGGCAAACAACTTCAGCAACTGTCTCCTTCGACTGATAATAACACAAATGGAGAGCAAAATTCAGATGATTATTCTCTAAGAAATAAAAAAAATGAAGATTCAGAAAATGATGATGTTCAGATCGAAAAAAAAAATTTGGACTCTTCATCTCCTGGAGCTACGAGTTCTCCTTTGCAACTGGGATTTTCGGAATCATCGAATTCGATAAATATCACATCAACAGCACCAAGCTTCTGGTCAACAGTAGGTACAGATGATACATTTGTACCAGGAATACCTACCATGAATGGCTCATTACCGTTCCAAAACTTTGCTTCATCAACAAACCCGATTCTAAGTACCAATATGGGACCTCAGTTAAATCTTTCGCAGCAGCATACACCTCAGAGGCGTGCTATCACCGGTGCTCACAATTTCCCTCAAAATAGGCATCAGCCTCAACCTAATTTATTCAAAGCTTACACAAATTGGAGTAATCCTCATCAAACAGCGTGGTCCACTCCACAGACCCCAAATGCATTATCAGCTTGGAATGCAGTAAACATCACAACAAATCACAAAAGGTCCGTGCCAAATATGAGCCCCATCTCACCAATGAAGAAGACACAAACAAATGTTGGTCAACATTCTATGGTTATATCACCGTCCAAATTTCGTCGGAGTACATCAATGCCTGTTGGGAAACCATTTCCCCATGGACTTGGAGCAAATACAACATATGATATGACTGGTGATGAAAATAGGGATGGTAATGTTATCATGCCTTTCCAGGTAAATTCAATTTCATAACTTTTTTTTTTTTAATTTGAATAATATGATCTAGAAGGGTGCAGTGAAGGATTTTGGAATCATGTTTAAATTGTATTTTAATACTTTGCTAATACCATTCTGATTCAGATTCATTTTATTAGTTTGCTTATCTCATTTATATCATTTTTGGTACACTCCTTAAGACTAATTTATTTCTAAAATCTAATGCAATTATCTTCAAAATAGTTGATTAAAATTAAAATATTTTACTTATTAGAATATTTTAAATGTCTGACTGCAAAATTTTTCAGATCTTTGTTAGATTAAATTTGCCTACTTTCCTTTATTTCTAGCTTTATACACATTTTTTAGTATGGTTATTATTGTGGGAAAAAAAAAGTGAATACATTTAAGATTATTTTCTTTGTGTTCATAATGTGTGTATCATGAATATGGGAAATTCATATAAGCAGGGTTATCTTCAGTTACAAATATTTAATCTTGACTTCTTTCTATAGCTGAATGATTATATTCATTTAATATTATACAGCTTTTTTTTTTTAATATAATCTTTAAATCATGATGCACTTGATAAATTTTTAATGAATTCTGTAATTTTTCCAAATATCTATGAGTGAAAATGGACCTGTGCACTTGACTTGTTGTGTTGTCTTGGCCAAAAGTTGGTGCAGAAAAGTAATATAGGGCCCAAAGTATCTGAAACAGTCCTAGAGGAAAAAAGGTTGCCAGTGTTTCAAAAAAGTAGGACTTTTACCTGTTGGTCCGCAGACGGTATTTTACTTTTCTTCTACCAACCAGTGGAAATTGCTAGAGGTATTTTCTATCCGCAACCTGGTGACGCATCCTCTGGGGGTTACAGGCCTTCCCGAGAAGCACTTGAGTAGAATCTTTGAAATAAAATATTTCTAACCAAACTATATGTTTAAATTCAAAATTTTTCAGACTGTATCACTAATTAAAGATAACTTTGTGTCTAACTGTTTGTGTGTTGTCTAACCGTTTGTGTGTTGTGTGCCAGTTATCATTTGTAACAGCAAACCTATCCAGCTTATATAAGATGTCAGGTCGCAGGTTTTCATTTTCTGCGATTTCTGAAACTTTTATAATTATCTCACATAATGTCATATTAAACCTAATTTTCTTCTAATTTTTTTTATTTTGCTGCTAGACTCTATTTGATTTTGAAATCATTTTAGATATTCTTCAGCAAAACCTAAAAAGTTCAATGGAATGGATATTTATATAATCAAATTTTATTTTGTATAATGAGATGTTACATATGCTTTTTCAGAGTAGTAACTTTTATAGTTTTGTATTTTTCTGAACTTTGAAAGTAAGCAGCATAAAAAAGTAAAAATGAACTCTAGAAATTAATTAGTATCAAGATATATTTAGGGCTTTACATGCATATGGTCTTGAGAAAACTCAAGTTATGAAATGTATATAGTAATAATTTTTTGCCGTCATTCTTATTTACATCCAACGCCCTCCCCAGTAAAATGGTATCCAAAACATAATGCTATAAAACAAAATTAAAACCAAGTGCCCCTTTGATTAGTGACAATTTTTTTTTAAATTTTGGCGATGAACCCTCCTGGTTACCATGATAGTTATAACTTTGTTTTAGCTTTCTGATTTTATTTAAATGAAAATAGACTGAAGTGTACATGGACAAATTTAAGGGAGTGTGCAATGCCTAGTTTGTGCAATTCTAGGATGTTTTTTCAAGTGAAAACAGATCGATGTGTACATGGACATAGAGTTTATACAATTCTTTGACTTCTTATTTTGGTTTTGTGTAGCGGCCATCTTGAAATTACAAGGGGCACCTAATTGTAAACTTTTACCACAAAAATATATAATCTCAATAAACTGCATTTTAAATTAAACATGGAAATAACATAAGAATGAAAATACATGTTATCTAATCGACGTGGTATAAAGAGGAAATATCTATTTACGTTATTTAAAAATTTCTGTTTCTTCAATATTTGCGACACACAGAATTCCTTAAAACAGCATCCAAGAATTGTTTAAAATTATTTAAACTAGAATCTGTATACTGCCATCATCATATTAATTCACAGAAGTAAAAATGAAAAATATTCTCCATACTGCTGTACTGTCGGTAGCATTTCTTTCGAAAATCCCTTTTTATTACACCCCATATTTCTTCCATAGTGTTGATATGAGCTCTGGTTTTGGAATCCTTAAATCTCACTATGTAATTTACCTAAAGGTGAACTAAGCCATTTAAAACTTCATTTACACACCAGTCAATCAATGTTTTCTTTCCCAATTGTTCTAAAGTGTACAGAAACTTCAAGTTAATGGTACCACCAGCAGGCATTTTATGGTGTAAAGAACAAAATAAGTAACGTATTTCCTAGCACATAAATAAGCCCTTACAAATGTTTTCCCAATCATTCAAATTCACTGCAATCATACAACCAATCACGTCATAATAGGATTTCTATAACATTCAACTACTCAGGTTACCATAAATGAAACAACAACTTGGTAATAATCCAAGGGGTACCCTAAAATATAGAACTCCATATTTTTTCATAGCATAATATAAAGCATTGAAATTATCCTAGAATGTGTATGTAAGTAAAAACAACTCAGATTCATTAGACATGCTGGTAAGATATATAAGTCAGATGTTTAAGAAGGCTAGTTACCTTCAGAAAAATCTAAATCATCTTAGTTTGCTAGCTTGTACTATGAAGACTTCATTTAGAATAATAATTTTTTGGCTAAAAATTTGAATGTTTATTCACTAGTCATTTTTTTAAAAATTGTAACAGTTAGTTCTTTTACGTTGTTTTATTAAAAGATGCAAGTAATGTTTATTTAAAAATAACAAACAGTAAAGCTGAATACTTTATGGAAATTAACAGATGTAAAATAATAATGAAATATGTATATTTTTAATATTGCATTTATTATATTTAAAGGTATTATTTAATTGTTTGAAATGGTCTTTTTTTATTTCATGAAATAAATGGGAACAGCGCTGTTCCAAATGAATATATAGGTATGTATTACCAGCATGATGACTTACTACAATTCTGAAATAGCATGTTTTGAACCAAATGCATTTAGAGGTCTGTCTGAGAAAAGCCAAGATATATTACATAATAATTCGTTTATATGGATGATGAAAGCTGTTTATTTCTATTTATTGTTATAGAGTAAAACTTGTAAGTGTCTGGAATATAAATTTAGGTGGAAACAGAAGAAAAATACAAATTTGTGGTTTTGGCCTGGTGCCAATAATATCATTCAGAATGAATGATTAAGTCTTTTCCCTTGTAATTGAATATTGTCTACTATATCATAGGACATAGGCTATATCTACAATACTATTGTAAAAAGACTTTTTTTTTTTTTTTTGTACAAGATAAACTTGATGGTAGGATACCACCATATCCCCAAATTCAAGTTCTGAATAAGAATTAATTAGTTCTGAATAAATTCAAGTTCTGAATTTTCCCTTGTAATTCAATATTGTCTACTATATCATAGGACTTAGGCTATATCTACAATACTATTGTAAAAAGACTTTTTTTTTTTTTTTTTTTTTTTTGGTACAAGATAAACTTGATGGTAGCATACCACCATATCCCCAAATTCAAGTTCTGAATAAGGCGTTGCATTTGTGACTTAAGTAGTTTTGTGAAGTGTTATCAAGAATTTGTTAATCCAAAAAACTGTACATGGTGGAGGGGTAGTGCCAGATTTAAGCTGCACAAACTATAGCTTAGGACCCCCACTTTCTGGGTGCCATCCCCAATAATTGTATCATATCCCATATAAAAAAAATTGACACATAGCCCTCATAAAGGGCCCCATATCTCAAATAGCTTAAGATTTCGTCAAATCTAAATCCAATCCTGTGGAGGAGTTAGTGTAACAGAAAGATAAGAAGTAAGCTTTCTTATCCTGGAACAGAACAATGGAGAACAGCAACAAAGAACATTCCGTACTTACGTATTATCGCAACCAGGTTGGCGCTATTTGTAAGTTTGAGTAAAAAAGTATGAATAGAAAGAAATTGTACATTTATTAATTACAGATAATTTTTAATACAGTTTTTTTATATGATTTTGTTTTAAAATATAAAATAGCAATTAAACCCTTCCGGTTTCGAATTTGAATAAGTTGTAGAATTATTTTTTTGGCGGAAATCTTTTGGCTATTGCTTTTAGTACTGATTGAAAACCGTCTTCGCCATTAACAGCTTGAGCTTGGCACCATATAAATTCGATAAAGTATGAGTCAAGATGATGACGGGCTGTTCCTCTCTGTTTTTTGTTGCACCATTTGGCTGAGCCCCACATGTGCTCTACATGTTGTGTGTGAATGCCCGTGTTGGGATCCACAAAGTTATATTTGTGATTAACAGTTCGATGCAGAAATCCAGCATTTTCGAACTCACTTGTATTGTATCCTTTCCAGCAATCCGAATAAATAATGCTTCCTTCCTTGATATTTTCACAAATTTTTCCATGAGTGTGACGGCGCTTCTGTTAGGTACAGTAACCAAAAAAGTCTCTTTCTTTTCTCGGCAAATTCCACCGAAAACCCATTGCTGTGTTATTTTTTCCAGTTACATTTGATACAGTTATTCCAGTGTTATTTTTTCTTTTTACAAATAGATTCTTTTTACAAAACTACGTATAACACGTAGGGTTGCCGTAAGTAGGGTCGCCAAATTTGGCGATTTATGCGAATTTTGGCCTGGTTGTGTTAATACATAAGTACCGAACATTCTCTAGTTTCACTACAAAATGTTCCAAAAAATACAATCTATGTTATTTCTCCTTTTTGTAAACACATTTTCATCAGTTTTTGTTGCATTCATTGATGTTTAATGCTAAGAGAAGATAACAAGGAACTAACATATGTCTTTTCGGTACTTACGGAAAGTCCCGTCGACCACAAGAGACAGCGCCAATCATGCCAAACCAAAAAAAAAAAAATTACTAAATACAAGAAAAAAACGTTCTATTCTTATTTTTATAATAGAATATTAATAATTATTTTTATAATATAATATTATAATTTATAATTTTTCTTAGCATAATAACTAACTCGTGTAATAAAGGTTATATCAAACCCAGCGTGTTTGAAGAAGACTTTTCCATTTTGGTGAAAAATCGTGCAGTTTGGCGCCTTTTCTTTAATAGGCAAAAATGGTTGATGGGATTTTCCATAAGTACTCTTTTTTCTAATGTAATTATTTCAGTCAATCACTGTTACATAATTTATTTGAAGCAAACTTTGGTTTATAAAACTCAGTAGATATTAACTCCTGACACTATAAGAAGTTAACAGTATAATAGTAAGGAAAATAATGAATGACCTAACAAGCCATGTTTGTATTCAGATAACCATTTGGGTTCTTGGCTAAATGAAAATTGTGAGCTATTTTGTTTCAAGTCATATTTTAATTTCATTAGGTGGTTATTCAAACACAGTCTTTCTTTGTGAAGAACATCTCTTTCTTTAAAATGTTTACATAGGCTGTCTGAAAAGTTTCCGACCTAACAAAGAAAAAAAAACTTTCTGCCTCCAAATTTACATTTATGTTTCGACATAGTCTCTGTTAATTCTAAACATTTCTTCGAGCGAGGCGCCTATTCTTTTAACCCGCCCAAATAATATGCGGAATCTCTTTCTGCAAAGTCTCCTCATATCTTTGCCCTACAAATGCTTCTTTTAGCCTAGGGGGAAAATGTCTTATTGATCTGGCAATAGAGTGAGTGGTCAAGCAGTTCAAACCATAATTCATGGATTTTCACCATTGCAACTGCTGGGGTGTGAGATGGAGCATTATCTTGGCGAAATGTTTTTTTTTTTTTTTTTTTTTCTTTTGCAGATGAGGCCGTTTTTTCGCAATATCTACTTTCAGCTTGTCAAGTAACATTGCATAGTGTGCTCCAGTAATAGGTTTTCGCTTTTTAAGATAATCTGTTAAGACAATCCCATGGCTGTCTCAGAAAACAGTTTCAAATTTTGAATTAAGTTATAAAAAATCTGCTTTCCTTTTTTAAACTTACTGAAAGTCATTGAATAACTTATGTATACAGTAGAAAGTTCATAATCCGGATGTCCATTATCTGGAATGATCTATAATCCGAACCTCAAAGCCGCAAACTTGTGCATGCGCGTTTGATGCACACGTCCGCTACGCATGCAAATAAAGCCAGTAAAGCATTTACTCATGCGTGCTTCCGGTAGTGAAGAAAGTAACAGAGAACGTTATTGAAAACGAAAAAATTTTGATTGACAAGTTAGTCGGTATTCTCGACACAGCAATTACAGGACTTGAACAGTGGAACTTTGTAACTGAACAAGAAATTATGTCTGTTTATAGAATTAAAGAGAAAGTATTAGCACAAAAAACGAAGCAACTTAAACAACTTATATTGAAAGAAATGTTTACTAAAGTAAACAAAGAAATATTAAGCTTTTTTTTTTTTTTTTTTTTTTTTTTTTTAAATTTTGATACCCTTTAGATCATAATTGCTCTTTATTTCATAAATTACGGTTACATATTTTTAATTGTATAATTTCTGCATGCCATCTTACCAGATTTAAATTGATGATCTATAATCCAGAAAAACTCTTAACCCGTAATCGCCGAAGTCCCGACAAGTCCAGATTACGGACTTTGTACTGTATAGTACCCTGCTTAATATTAATATTTCCCGATTTCATTAACTTTTGCTTCATGCACTGTTGGTGATTAAATTATGATTCTTTTCTGAATGAATTATGATTTATCGTATTCTGTTAATGAGATGCCAGTTGCTAAATGTGAACCAGATCATCAAATAGGGTAGCGTGGTTATATCGTGTTATGAACATCTGTGCAGCGATAATATACAATTGTGTGCAAAATTCAGAAAATTTGAAAATGTTACCTATTTTTAAGAAAAGTATTGAACCAAAGGTACTATAATGCAAATATTTAGAGTCAAATATATAAATGTACACATGCGTGTCTCCAGAGCTGTGATTGTCGAGGGGATATAATCGCATGAGGTGTTTAGCGCATTTTAGCACTTATTCTCCATGCACCGCCGCTTCTCTAGGAGCGAATCCAAAGACAGGTTAAAAGCACAGTGGCTAAATACTTGTGCACCTCCATGGTCGGCGATTTGTGTGCTCGTACTTCTTTCTAATATTTGTCGTGTTTCTCGCTAGTGTTGAGCAAACTATATAAGGTGTCAGGTAAAACAAATTACCATGAACATATGGATAGCGGAATGAGATAGAAGAGCCATCCAGTCATAGTGCAGGTGGCGACAGAGCTCAGTGTAACGACCAGCGTCTTCTGCAGTTTGTTTAAACTAAACAGTTTCAGGGCACTAGATCTATACCGAAAAGACCTGGACAAGCTCAACCAAGAACCACAACGACAAATGAGGATCGTTAGTTGACACTTTTAGCATGGTGACACAGAATTCGTACAACCTCACAGCTCTCACTTGAACTGTATGCTGCAACTGGAATCCAAGTTTCATAGTCTTCAGTTTCCTGAAGGCTTTATGAGATAGCGTTGTTATGCCAGAAGGTCTGCTGTTTGTCCTGTTCACTGCAGCACTCAAGCGAGTACGTTTAGCATGGTGCAGACGACAGTGGAGCACCGAGCTTTTTACAGATGAGTCGAGGTTCAGCCTGGATACGTATTCTCGGTCACTTGCATTTGGGGCAAGCTTGGAACACGATACCATTCCTTCGTAATCTGGGAAAAAGATCATTGTGGTGGTGAAGGTATAATGGTTTGGGTAGGCATTATGTTGGACGACCACACATCCCTGCATGTTTTTGACAAAGGCTTCCTGACTGCTAAAGCTATAAAGGTTCCCTACCTGCTGCGAGGTATAGGGAGGAGGGCTCTGCGTTCGCCTTCCCAGCGGTGTAGTAGGTCCTGAGATCGTACGTCTACATAGGGCTCTACGATTACATAGAAATTGACGATATTCCCCGTATGGCTTGGTCAACCAGATCTCCTAACCGTAGCCCTATAGAGCAGTGGTACTCAACCTTTTTTGGTGCTGTGGCACACAAGACAGTTTCAGAAAGCGAAGCAAGCACCACATAACATTTCCGTCCCGGTTTATATTCAGGCCATCCCTTGGCGATATTATCACATTACTAGTTAACGCTAGCCTATAAGAAAAACAAACGCGCCTCATAAAGATGGAAAAAATGGATCTAGATAGAAACAAAATATACATTTCATGCACAAAGTTTTTATTACTTACAAAATAGTCATGGCTCTTCTGTTTATTGTGTTGCACTTAATGTGATTTTTGACACTAAATTTTATCCACCAACATATGTACATTAG